GAGGGAGGGGGCTCGTGCGGGCCCGGGGGAGGGGTCGTGCGGCCCCTGCGGGCAGCCGAGGCCGCGGAAGGGGCGCCGGCCAGAGGGGAAGAGGTAGGCCCCGGAGCCTGCTCTCTCTTCCCAGGGCCCAGGCGTCTTGGGCCCCCCAACTCCCTCCTGGACTGACTAGCCCTCCGGCCCCTTGCGTCCCCTCCCAGGGGGAGGCCCCCGCCGAGATGGGGGCGCTGCTACTGGAGAAGGAGCCCAGAGGAGCCCCGGAGAGAGGTGAGTGCGCCCCGGAAAGGCCCGGTTGGACCTTCACCTCCCCCAGCACAGGCTCTCTCCGGAGTCCTTGGCCCTGAACTTTTTCTGTTCCTCTTCAGTTCATGGCTCCTTGGGGGACACCCCGCCGAGTGAGGAGACCCTCCCGAAGGCCAACCCCGACCCCCTGGAACCCGCCGGCCCTTCCTCCCCTGCCTCTGTCACCGTCACGGTGGGCGATGAGGGGGCTGACACCCCCGTGGGAGCCACGTCGCTCCTTGGGGAAGAGCCGGAGGAGGGTCTGGAAGACGGAGAGGGGGACCTCCCTGGGAGCCGCATCCTGCTGGGTGAGAGGCTGGGGAGTGGGGGCGAGGGGGGGGGCGGTAAGGGTGTTCGGGGTTGGGGTCCGGGTCAGCCCTCTGATTCTTGCCTCCCACCTTACCTTCTGCCCGCCTGCCCATCCGTTTTTCCCAGGCCATGCAACAAAGTCCTTCCCCTCTTCCCCCGGCAAAGGGGGTACGTGCCCCAGTCGGGCCAAGATGTCCATGACCGGGGCTGGGAAGTCCCCCCCCTCGGTGCAGAGCTTGGCCATGAGGTTGCTGAGTTTGCCCGGGGCCCAGGGGCCAGCACCGGCGCCAGCGCCAACACCAGCACCAACACCACCAGCAGCAATAGCAGGGCCTGAACTCCCTCCAGCAGCCACCACCAGTCCAGAGGGGCAACCCAAGGTCCACAGAGCCCGAAAAACCATGTCCAAACCCGGAAATGGACAGGTGAGTGGGGGAGGGGAGGGAGGGGAAGAGCAGGTTAATCCAGCATAGGTCCCTTAAGGGTTTTTCTGTAACTTAGCTTCTGGCCACTTCTGATCTGTTCCTGTCTGTACATATTCCGGAATGTGGTGACAGATAATGGGCAGGGGGTTCCCTGTTCTAGCTTCCTGGAGTTTGTTTGGCTTGGAGCTCCTTGGGGGTGGTTGGGCCCCCTGCAGTGAAAGAGTTAATTATAGAGTTAATGTCTTAAGGCAGAAGGCAAGAGACAAACCTACTCTTCCTTTGTACTTCTAAGCAAGCCCCCAGGGGAATACAGGTCTTCCCACCTGGAAGACCGGCCCAGCTTCATCTTAAGGTTTTATGGCTGATCGTTTTCACAGCTCCTATTGTGAATTCCTACTGGAGAGGCCACTGAAATGACAAAGGAGGGAGATAACCGCCCCCCATGCCCCTCCCACCCGGCACGTGTTTGCAGCTACCTCTCCGGAAAGGTCTTCAGCCTTGCTACGCTTTGTTTTCCCGTCTGTGAAATGGGAATGAAGCGGCTGCTTCTAAGCCGGTTAGATAGATAAGGGTTAGGTTAGGGTCCTCCTCTGCCAGACAGCCTGGTGTACGGCTCTGTTCCCGTGCCCGGGGGGATGTATCTCACCAGTCTGCCCCCACCGGGGGCTCCAGGCTAATCCGCAGAACTGTGGGTGCTCCCCGATCTGAAATGCTCCCTGCCGCCCTCAGCCCCCAGTTCCTGAGAAGCGGCCCCCGGAAGTGCAGCATTTCCGAATGAGTGATGACGTTCACTCTATGGGGAAGGTGACCTCAGGTCAGTGGTGCCTCCTACCACCTATCTACCTCCCCCACACCCCCGTGGCCTGACCCCTTTCCGGAGGGTCTGACCCCTTCCTCTCTGTCTTTCCAGATGTGGTCAAAAGGAGGAAGCTGCACTCAGGAGGTGGCCTGGTGAGTAGGAGAGGCAGGGAGCAAGGCCTTCCCCCACCCCCAACCCCATGGGGTGGGTCTGAGAAACCACTGCAGGGGACCCTGGGGGCTGGTCCACACTCTGGCTCCATCCTCAGAGGAGTTGGGGAGAGGGTGGCCCTGCCTGCAGCCGCTTATTTATTTATTTTTTTTATGAAATCTTCTCTTAGTCTGAGGAGTTAGGTTCTGCCGGGGGCTCTGGAGAAGTGATTCTGCAGAAGGGGGCCTCTGGGTCCCTGGAGGAATGGGAGACGGTGGTGGGGGATGACTTCAGTCTCTACTACGATTCCTACTCTGTGGATGAGCGTGTGGACTCAGACAGCAAGGTGAGGTCCACTGGCCAGCACTTCCCCCCGTCCAAGTCTCCTCTGCTTTGTTGGTTATTGGTTATTTGCTTGGATGTTAAAAAGATGTATTCTCTTGCTCTGGAATCACCATAACCCCCCCCCCCCACACACACACACCCAATCACCCACCCACACGTACACACAGTTACTTTAAAGTAAATCTCATCTTGTCTTTCACAAGGATTGCCCTAGCTGTCAGTAAGCACAAGGCCTTTACTGTTAGGTCCTGGTAATTTTTTAAATGTCAGCCCTTGTCCAGTCAGCGTTCGAGTGCCCTCTTTAGATTCATCCATGATCTTTGTTTGCCCGTTTGTTAAGCTGCCTGTGAGATCCAGGCCTAGATTTGATTGGCGTCTGTTTGCCTCTGGTTTCTTTTGACAGATAGCGTCCATATCCCTCTGCAAATTTGTTTGTTTTGTTTTTCCCTTGCCAATTACTCGTTGAAGTGAATGGGTTTCCCTTCAGAAACGCTCAGGGTAGAGGTTTGCTAACGGGGGCGGGACCTGGCATTCCTATACCTGCGGCACTGGCTTGGGAAACCGGTAGGTCTGGAAGGATGATCCGCCTCGGTCCTTTTTTACCCACCGAGATTGTGATTTGAAGGTGGGTCGGTGCCAAGTGCTTCCTGCTGTGTGACGCAGCAGGAAGCACAGAGCTGCAGGTCACTTCAGTCCGTAGCGTCGAGATTGGACACCTGGCTCAGGTGATGTCAGGTGGTTCTCAAGTTCTTGGCGAACTTTTCACTTACTGGCTTTATTAGCAGCTGTCATGACTCTTGCTTATTTACGGTGTTCATAAATTAAAAAGGCTGTTAGTATCATATACTGTGAACCTTATAGGAAGCTCTGGTGGTGTCGTGGGTCACTCATCGGGCTGCCAACTGAATCGCCAAGAGTTTGAACCCTCTAGCCACTCATTCTGTGAGAGAGAGAGGAACTTTACCGCCTCAGGAGCCCTGCTGTGTAGGATCAGGATAAGTCACTATCAACCCAGTGGCAGTGAGTTTGGGTTTGGGCTTTGATCTGTCTGCTTTTTGAGAAAATTGAGTGAGGTCAAGACTGCCCATTGCTGCTTATGACGGTGGCAGGCTAGTGCCCGCTGTGTAGCAGTCCCCGCCGCTCCCTTTACTCAGCCTTTTCCCTCCCTTGCCCACTTGCCGCCCGACTTCAGAGGGTTGCTATCCCTGGTGTTTGGGGAAGTTTTTCTCTCTCTCCTGCCTCGTTGTCTGAGCCCTGCGGCCGGGATAGAGCCTGTTCTGCCTTGGTCTCCAGCACCGACCCTTTCTCTAAGAGAGAGCTGTGTCCTGGGAGTCATTGTCCCCCCCAAGCCCCATCTTGCTTCTCTTCCAGTCTGAAGTTGAAGCTCTTGCTGAGCAGCTAAGTGAAGAAGAGGAGGAGGAGGAGGAGGAAGAAGAAGAGGAGGAGGAGGAGGAAGAGGAGGAGGAAGAAGACGAGGAATCTGGCAATCAGTCAGACAGGGTAAGGGCTGGAGGTTGACGCCCCCACAGGAGGCGGGCCCTGTGGGCCTGGGAACTGGGGCCCCCAACTCCTCCTCTGCCCCAGAGTGGCTCCAGCGGCCGGCGCAAGGCCAAGAAGAAATGGCGGAAGGACAGCCCGTGGGTGAAGCCGACTCGGAAACGGCGGAGACGGGAGCCTCCAAGGACCAAGGAACCCCGAGGTGAGGGGGCTGCTCTGTTTGGGGGGGCCCCCAGAGAGCATGCATGTAGATCAGCGCTCTGTCCTGCGTGTGCACCTGCATGGCCCCGCACCTGTGCGCCCGTGCACCGTGCTCTCACTCTCTCTCTGTCTCTGTGTCAGGCGTGAATGGTGTGGGCTCCTCGGGCCCCAGTGAGTACATGGAGGTCCCTCTCGGGTCCCTGGAGCTGCCCAGCGAGGGGACCCTCTCTCCCAACCATGCTGGTAAATGCCAATCACTGGGACAGGGAGCCACGAGGGGGCGCTCCGGGACTGGAGGGCAGGCGGGGAGCCCCCACCCCCATCAGGGCCTGGCATCCCCCAGGTGTAGGTTCTCAACCTGTGGGTCTTGACCCCTGTGGGGGTCCAATGACCCTTTCACAGGGGTCGCCTGATTCAAGACAGTAGCAAAATGACATTGATGAAGTAGCAATGAAAATAATGTGATGGTTGGGGAGTCACCACCACACAGGGCACTGTACGAAAGGGTGGCGGCAAAGAGGTTGTCACTGGTGCAGAGGGAGAGGTGGGACAGGGTGAGGCCCTGCTCAGCAGCTCTCCTCCTCCCGGCTAGGGGTGTCCAACGATACGTCCTCACTGGAGACGGAGCGGGGGTTTGAGGAGCTACCCCTGTGCAGCTGCCGCATGGAGGCGCCCAAGATCGACCGAATCAGCGAGCAGGCAGGCCACAAGTGCATGGCCACGGAGAGTGTAGACGGAGAGGTGGGCCCTGGATCCCTAGACGGGTGGCAGGAGGGCCAGGCCCGAGCGCAGCCTCACTGCCTCTCCTGTGTGTTCTCACTGCCCCCAGCTCTCAGGCTGCAATGCCGCCATCCTCAAGCGGGAGACCATGAGGCCCTCGAGCCGCGTGGCCCTGATGGTGCTCTGTGAGACCCACCGCGCCCGCATGGTCAAGCATCACTGCTGCCCCGGCTGTGGCTACTTCTGCACGGCTGTGAGTGCCCCAGCAGGGTGGGACCGGCCCCCAGCCCCAACAGGGAAGGGGCTTCCGGGGCCTGACCTCCTTTCCATGTCCCCAGGGCACCTTCCTGGAATGCCACCCTGACTTCCGGGTGGCCCACCGTTTCCACAAGGCCTGCGTCTCCCAACTGAACGGGATGGTCTTTTGTCCCCACTGTGGGGAGGACGCCTCTGAGGCCCAGGAGGTGACCATTCCCCGGGGAGATGGGATGACCCCCCCTGCTGGCCCTGCCGCCCCCGCCCCTCCGCCCCTGGCCCAGGATGCCCCTGGAAGAGCAGACACCTCCCAACCCAGGTACTGGCCTTCCCGAGCTCTTTCTGCCCCTGCCCCTGCCCTGCCCCGCCCCCGAGACATCAGCACCTTCTCCCACAGTGCCCGGATGCGAGGGCATGGTGAGCCCAGGCGCCCCCCCTGTGACCCCCTGGCTGACACCATCGACAGCTCCGGTCCCTCACTCACACTGCCCACTGGCGGCTGCCTCTCAGCGGTGGGGCTGCCCCCAGGGCCCAGCCGGGAAGCCCTGGAGAAAGCCCTGGTCATCCAGGAGTCAGAGAGGTGGGTGGGGTTGGGCTGGGCCAAGGGGGGTGGGGGAGCAGCGGCTCTGGAGGGGCAGAGGCTGGTACTCAACTCCCAGGAGCTGACCCCTCTCCTCCCTCACTGGCAGGCGAAAGAAACTTCGTTTCCACCCGAGACAGCTGTACCTGTCGGTGAAGCAGGGCGAGCTGCAGAAAGTGATCCTGATGCTGTGTGAGTGTCCTCCGGGCAGGCAGGGAGGACAAGGATGAAAGATGCCATCCATACCCTCGAAGGACATGATGTTGTGGGGGACACGCACAAGGGAGGGGCAGCACATCGGTGCCGGGTGCTTTCTCATTGTGAATTAGGTTTAGGTGTATAGAGCAAAGCATGAGTCTTACGTTTAATGTTTCAATCATTTGTTGATGTCCCTGCCATGGCCCATCACTGATCCCACTTCCTTCCTGTACTTCCTGTTTCCGCCCCTCCTTTCTGGAGTCTCGGGACTGTACCCTTGGGTAAATGCTGCACTTGATCTCTAGTGGTGGGTTAGGATAACAGGTAAATTCTGTTCCCACTAATAAACCTGGTCTTCTTTATAGTGTGGGGTTCTGTCCCCCATTTTAATGTGATCCTTTTCGGAGCAGTTGGTGATGGTAGCAGGGCACCATCTAGTTCGTCTGGTCTCAAGTTGTGAAGAATGGTGCGTGCTTGGTCTGTTAGTTTATTGGTCTGATGATTTCTCTGAGCCTTTAGATTTTAATCACTCTTCTCTCCAGATGGGGGAGACCGAGTGACTTGTACTGCTGCCACATTTTAAGACCCCAGGTGCTACTCATCAAAGCAAAGCGTAGAGCATTGTCTTTGTGGACCCTGTTGTGCCCCTTGACCTTTGACTGTGGCCCTGAGGCCTGAACTGGGTACTGGCCCGTGCTGGCTCATCAGAGCCTCCTGCCAGCAGAGGCACAGAGAGGTGACCTGCCTTCCCTAATGGCCTGGCAGCTACAAAGGGCAGGTCCAGGGTCTGAGCCCTGATACTGCCAGAGCAGTTAAAGTCCCACTCTGAAAAGTGCCGTAGTGTCCGGGGACCAGAGGATGCCCAGGAGAGGCCCTGAGGAGGTGGCACCTGCTCCCCTCACCGCCCTCTCTCCCATTGGGATGGGCTCTTCCCACAGTGGACAACCTGGACCCCAACTTCCAGAGCGACCAGCAGAGCAAGCGCACGCCCCTGCACGCAGCCGCCCAAAAAGGTTCTGTGGAGATCTGCCACGTGCTGCTGCAGGTCAGGCTTGCCAGCCCTCAGACAGACTCCTCTCCCTGGCCCCCACCCTCCCTGGTGCCAGCCTGAGCCCCACCTCCTCGCAGGCCGGAGCCAACATTAACGCGGTGGACAAGCAGCAGCGGACGCCGCTGATGGAGGCGGTGGTGAACAACCACGTGGACTTGGCCCGCTACATGGTGCAGCGAGGCGGCTGCGTCTACAGCAAGGTGCGGCAGGGCGAGGCCCAAAAGACTGTGGATCCTCTAGGGCAGAGGGTCTCAAAGCAGGCAGTGCCCCCCCCACCCCCCCAGGGTTGGCAGGGGGGTACTGCAATGATCCAGGGAGGCCGTCAAAGCAGATACCGTCGCTCTCCTGGATTGCAGGCTCTGGTACAAATGCTTCCCATTGCCAGGGAGGCAGGCAGGCGCTGAGCAATTTTCTTATACAAGTTTGGGCACCTGTGATCTAGAGCCTGGGTCTGCCCGTGTGTCTCTCAGGAAGAAGACGGCTCCACCTGCCTCCATCATGCAGCCAAACTCGGCAATCTGGAGATGGTCAGCCTGCTGCTCGGCACAGGGCAAGTGGACGTCAATGCCCAGGTCAGTTGCCACCGCCCCACCTCAACTCCTCTGCGAGGCTCCGTGTCTGGTACTGTCCCCTATGACTCCATCCAACCGCTGACCCACACCTACTCTACTCTCTCCCCATCATCTGGGTTTCTCTTGCCTAGCCCTCCCACCCCCACTCTCTTCCTATTTCTTCACCCTTTTCAGAACTGTGAGTAGCCGCCCTGCTCTCTAAAAGTGACCTGTGAGGCCCCTTATTAGCTCTCGGCTTCACGCTCGGCGGTAGTGTTTGAGTCAGGGCCACCCCCGTTCCTGCTAACTCAGGCTCATGAGGCAGGAGACTTTCGGAGAGCCATGCTCCCGGAGCTTTTCTGGAAATGAATCGTCGGGCCTTTCTTCCGGGGGCCCGGGCGAACTTGAGCATCCAGAGGTTTGACTGGCACTTGAGCGCTTAACTGCACCACCAGCAACTGAAAAAACAACACACTGCCATCCGAATCTTTAGGGTATTGGTGACCTTCTTGTTGACCTTGGACTTGTTCCATCTTCGCCCAGGGGGGAGCCCTGGGAGTCGGTTCCTGTGGCCCAGAGCCTGCCCCAGGCTTGAAAGGCCCTTTTCTCTAAGAGTCTGAAGTTCCCTTCACCGAGAGCTCTTTTCTGGAGAATGCCGTCTTGGGGGCAGGTGTTGCCCCTGCGTTGTCACACTTTGATGGCTTTAGGGTAAGGCACACCCCGGAAGCACACCTTTTTTTTTTAGAAAGAGAAACCTCAGTTCTTTCAGCAGCCCTGGGCTGTAGCCAGTGGCCCGTTGCCCCCCACATTAGGGGGCTTGCCCACAGGCTGCGTGTGAGTGGTGGCCTGGGATCCGCCCAGCCCGGGCTCAGGGCACGCGCTCTGGACTGCAAGGTGCCCGTGGCTGGCACCCCATGGTTTCTCCGCACCCACAGGACAGTGGCGGGTGGACGCCCATCATCTGGGCCGCAGAGCACAAGCACATTGAGGTGATTCGCATGCTGCTGACCCGGGGCGCCGACGTCACCCTCACGGACAATGTGAGTGGGGCCTTGCTTGGGGTGTGGACGGGGTCGACCGAGGGAGGGCTGTGGCCGGCCCCTGCGCCCACACCTCCCGCCCGCAGGAAGAGAACATCTGCCTGCACTGGGCCTCCTTCACGGGCAGCGCCGCCATCGCCGAGGTACTCCTCAACGCCCGCTGCGACCTGCACGCTGTCAACTACCACGGCGACACGCCCCTGCACATCGCTGCGCGCGAGAGCTACCACGACTGCGTGCTGTGAGCCCCGCCCCC